TCCTTCGTCGGAGTAAATGTGAAATTATGTGAAATTAAATAAATGTATGGAACTAAATCAATCAAATCAACCAATCAATCAATTCATCAATCAATCGATAAATAAATAGATAAATAAATAAAGATTAATTAAAGAATTTAAAACTACACGAAAATGTGATCACTTTTTTTAAGTAAAATATCATTACAAAGTTTGTTTTTAAAAGTCTTATTACTCTCTGGAAAGTTTCATGTCTTTTGGTAAAATATTCCATTCTTTAATCGATCTTACAGCAAATGTACGTCCACCTTCTGTTTCCTTTGTATGTCTCTGGCTGCTCAGATTTAGATTACTGAAGCGAGTATTTCTGCTGTGTATGTCACATTAGTTTTGAGTTTAAGTATCCATCTCTCTATACTTTTTAATTTCAATCTTTTTTAAGAGTTTCTACAGTAATGCTTACAAAAATAAATTTTCTACGCGTAACTCATAAAACCATATTTGCGTTCGGTTTGACGTCTATTAACTATGATTCGGTATAGTAGGAGACTTGAATGAATCGGTTTACCTCGCACACGAGACACATAATTTGAAGCACAAAACCTAGTACTGCTTACGAAAATAAGTATTTTCTACGCGTAAAATAAGAAAGTCTTACCTCATTAATTCGATTTCTTCGCAGTGCAACTGAGGCAAAAATTTGAATCTGCGCCTTATACGAAGACCATTTAAATTCCAACGAGATGTTGAGACAATAAGCCAGTTGATAGTTTAAGAATCTTTTTCAGTGCGCATGCGATTTTATCCCGAATTTCTCACCTTCTTTTGTCGAAAATTTCTTTTGTTCTTAATTAAACAAAAGAGGAAGGAAACTCGGGATAAATTGCATGCACACTGCTACATGCACTACCTCATGCACTATACTTTTTAAGTTCAGTCTTAAGGAAAATCTAGGCCGTGTTCTTAAACTGCAAAAGAGAGCAGCTAGGGTAATTTGTGATTCCAATAATCAGGCCTCTAGCGTTGAACTTTTTAATATGAATTACAGTGGCTTCCCTTTTATGAAGAAGCCAAAATAACTAAATGTTGTCTAGCTTATAAACGTCTTAAGGATAAAGTCCCGACATACATTGAGGATTGTCTAAAGCTCAATAGTCAGCGTCATAGTCGTACTACTAGGTATAGTTATATGAATCTTATTTTCCCTAAGTTTATTCATATGACAGAAGGTGGTAGGACGTTTGCGGTTACTACCTGCAAACTGTGGCAGTCTAAGTTTAGATCTTAGAAATTCAG